ATGCAAAAGGTTTCATTCCGATCGGTCCACCCAGTTAGGCGCAATGCGCGAACATACATAGAGAAAAGAAAAAAGTTGCCGGTTTCTTTGCAATAACAACACTTTGCAATTAAAAAATGAAAAATTTTTTGATAATGGTACCAATGGGGAGTCAGCACCTTCCATATGCAAAAGGTTTCATTCCGATCGGTCCACCCAGTTAGGCGCAATGCGCGAACATACATAGAGAAAAGAAAAAAGAAAAAAAAAAAAGAAAAAATATACTGGTCGAATTGAGTAACCTCCTCCTTTTTCGAAGTCGGTTAAAAATTTAATAGTCGCCAAAAATTCAAAACCAGTCCTCCGTGCACCGTGTGGGCATATAGGGGAAATATTCTATCCTACCTATACCACTCTAAAACTTGCTTTACCTTCCGCACTTATTCTTCATCAAATCCCATCTCCCTTCCTCCTTTTCTACACCTCCAACTTAATTAACTAAAGCAACTACAACTGAAAAAAACAACAATATCTCTCACTCGATAAAACTACTTCCTACTCATACACCGCCATCTTTTCCTTCCTTCTGTTTTTCTCTAAAAAGCTAGTTTCCTTGTTGAGTGTCGCCTCCTGTATCCTTAGTCTTTACTTTGGCCCAGTGACTTTGGCCACAGAGTAGGGATAAACTATCACTACTCTGTGCTTTGGCCATACGGTACTCAACTGGAAGTGGAAGAAAAAAAGGAAAAAGAAACAACATAGACGTAAGTATACTAAATTCTTCATATGAATAGTGATTGTAATTCCTAGTATGATGTACATGGACAAATAAAGTTCAAGGTTAGTATTTTATTATGCGATTCCAAGTGTAAATATTTAAAATTTAACGTTACGTCTAATTTAACCGTAAGTATAAAAATAATAATACATAATTGTATTGTATTTTACTTTTCAATTTATAAATAATAACATACTATATACACTGTACATTGTATACAATATATGGCTGCAGTATGCAAAGTTCAGTTGTATTTGTTATTATTTATTTCTGTATAATTCTGTAAATAAAAACAATATTTTCTCTAAAGGCTACAAATAGTTCACTTTGTTTATTTTATAGATTAAAAAATACGTATAATATATTTCAAAAGTGGACGGTAATAAATTCAGTATCAATAAATTCAATACACATAAATACATATTTATTTGTTAGATATTTCTTAATTTCTTTTTGTAAGTATTGCATCAATTTTATGCATGGTATATGTAAATATATCATTAAAAACTTCTTGTGCTTTTTCACTCAAGAGACTACGTAACCTTTATATTACATTAACTGGTTCACAAATATTGGAAAAAATGTCAAATGTCAAGATTTTAGATGGTGGATTTTCTGCACAATTATCCACTCATGTTGGTGAAAAAATTGATGGTGATCCTCTTTGGACAGCAAGATTTTTAGCAACAAATCCTAATGCTGTTTATGCCACACATTTAGATTTCTTACGAGCAGGGGCAGACATTATAGAGACAAATACATATCAAGCTTCAATTCCTGGTTTAATGAAATATTTATCTAAAACTGAAGAAGAAAGCATAAATTTATTGCATCAAGCTGTTAAACTTGCCCAGAAAGCTGTTAATGATTATCTTAAAGAGATTGAAGGAAATAACGACATTGAAAATAAAAGTCCATTGATTGCTGGTTCTTGTGGGCCATATGGAGCTAGTTTACATGATGGTTCAGAATACAATGGTGCCTATGGTAAAGCAACACCACGCGATACTATGATGCAATGGCATAGATCACGTATCAATGCCCTCGTAGACTCTGGTATAGACTTATTAGCGTTAGAAACAGTACCTTGTTATCAAGAAGCAGAAGTATTGGTGGAACTTTTAAAAGAATATCCAAATGTTAAAGCATGGCTTACATTTTCTTGTGAAAGAAATAGCCAAAATATAGTAGATGGAAGTAATTTTCAAGAAGTTGCTACAAACTGTTATAAAATGGCATTACCAGGTCAAATAATTGCTATTGGTGTAAATTGTATTGCTCCAAAAGATGTATCTCCTTTATTAAGAAATATTAACAAAGATACTGGGAACCAATTTATACCGTTAATAGCTTATCCTAACAGTGGTGAAATATTTTCATCCACCAAAGGGTGGATAAAGGATGAAAGCTGCCCTCCATTTGAAAATTTTATCCCTGAATGGCTAGAAATTGGAGTACAGTATCTTGGCGGTTGTTGCAGAATGTATGCAGAAAATATAAAATCAATCAGAAGAGAAATTAATAATTTTAAGAAGAAGAAAGCAGAGAAAGAAAACTAATTTTATCTCAGATGATCAAATTTCACTATCTTCAATAAATAAAAACTTACTGACTAAATATTATAATTTTATATTAGTACATATTACTATTTTATGTATATATACATTTTAATGTGATATATAATTTTATATATTCACTTAATAAATATATTATTATCATTTATAAATAGTATATCATTTTTATATAAACAATTTCCAATTATTTTAAATGACTTTTATCAATGTTTTTAAATCGAAAAACATATAAAGATATAATTAAGTAAATATTCTTAATTATATCAGTGTCTCGCCGTTTTTTATCATAAAATTATCAATTGCCCCATAGTATATTTCTTATCATGTATGGTACAAAGCAGCATGTGAAAACAAATTTATATAAGACGTTGGTAAATAGAAAATAATACTTATCAAACACGAATTAGATATGGTTTGAAACACTTATACATTGGTATATGTCATACCGTGTAGTTCATCTTGACTCGTGTAAAAACACGTGACAAAATTTGATCTTAGTGGCATGTAGAATTTTTACGATATACGCACGAAGAAAGCGATCTTTCACTGCATATTATTATAATACTTCCTTTTAAGATTTGATTCGTCTTAATATTTATCTCACAGAGTTCATTATGGACTTTGGAATAAGTGTATATACTGAGACCAACTGTACCAAATATTGCTTCAGACTTGCAGTAACATTTATACAATTAAGACGTGTGTGTAGCTAAAATTTAATCTTTTTTGAACTAACGAAATACGTGTTAGTGTTGACGAATTACAATTATAATTTTTCTTACTTTACAATTTTATATATTACTGTGCAATTATAAATTGCTTTGTTAGCTGTTGTGGTTGTAAATAATTTGTAAGAATCAATCATAACAGTTACAGTACAAAATGATGCAACAAGTAAAAATATTAGATGGTGGGTTTTCTACGCAATTAGCAACACATGTGAATGATACGATAGATGGTGATCCCTTATGGACAGCACGATTTCTTGTTACAAATCCTGAAGCTATTGTTGCTACGCATTTAGATTTTCTAAAAGCTGGAGCAGATATAATTCTTACAAATTCTTATCAGGCATCTATAGATGGATTTTCAAAATATATGAACATGACAGAAGAGGAAAGTCTTAATTTATTTAGCAAATCTGTAGAGTATGCTAAGGAGGCAGTAAATTTATTTAAAAAAGATGTCAAAAATTTGAAAAACGTATCTGAAAATCCACTAATTGCTGGATCTATTGGACCATATGGTGCATGTTTGCATGATGGTTCAGAATATACTGGCAAGTACTGTTCACTTGTGACGGAGGAGATTCTTATGGACTGGCACAGACCACGTATTAGGCAATTAATTGCTAGCGGTGTTGACTTATTAGCAATAGAAACAATACCATGCAAAAAAGAAGCTGAAGCATTGGTTAAATTACTTAAAGAATTTCCTAATATCAAAGCTTGGTTGTCATTTTCTTGTCGTAATGATGGAGAGAACATAGCTGATGGTTCTAACTTTCAAAATGTTGCAATGCAGTGTTATAAGGAAGCATTACAAGGACAAATTTTAGCAGTTGGAATGAACTGTATTGCACCACAAAATGTAAGTCCTTTATTAAGAGGAATTAATGCAAACAATAAGCAAGAAATTGTGCCATTAGTGGTATATCCTAACAGTGGCGAAACATATACAGTGGAAACAGGATGGATGAAAACGAATGATTCCTGTTCTTTAAACCAATTTATACATGAATGGCTGAATTTGGGCGTTCGATACATAGGCGGATGTTGTAGAACGCACGCTGAAGACGTAGTAAAAATACGTGCGGAAGTACAGAACTGGAAATGTGCCTAAATCTTTTTACAGATTTCATAAATATAACAAAATATACTCATTGAACACGTACAATTATTAATGAAAAACAACTATTTTTTCTTGTATTTATATATATCTTAAATAAATTTTATCTTTAGATTGAAAAAAGATATACACCAGAATTAAGAGAAGATAAATTTTTATGTAAGATTTTTTGCTACAAATAAAGTTGTTATAAAAAAATAAATTTTGGAATAATGTTATAATTTGCTTTCACATTTCAGGTGGATCACAAATGCTTATAGATAATAATAGACATATAAAATAAACAATTATATTAGATTTTTTATTCCTCAAGAGTTACATCAAAACTGTATATAAAAATCCAATATTTTTTAATAATATTAAAAGAATTTTTAAGTGATGAAAAGTATAAAATTTAATAATACAATTATAGCATATAAAATTTACTAAATATGTATAGAATACTTATATTATCATCACCAAATTATTATCCATAAATAATCATTTAGATAATTTATATTTAATGCGTGTATATGTAAGTATATGTATATATCAATTCTCTATTGATTGATTAATGTAGACCAATTCATCACCAACATTATATACATTGTTTCCTACATTTACTATAATAGTTTTGGTTTCCATATCAACATTAAATGTAGAATTAAGTGGAATTTGGGTTTTACCTTTTAACATATCATCGGGGACTAGTTTACCTCTAGGTCCTAAAATAGGATCATTATAACGGTATAGAAGAATTGATGACGGATCTGAAACAGCAAATGTTGTATTGAGTTTTAGCATAATCGATCATCAAATTTATGTGACCACCATTTGCGTACCTTTTACGTGCTTATTTTCTTTTAATATTCGTGATATAACGTCTGTTACAGTATCTGTATCAGCGATTTTTACATTTGTTCGAAATAAACCACTGCACTTTTGTGGATTCATAGCACACACATAAATTCCAGGTTTAACAGAAAAGTTTATGTACGGGGAACCAGGACAACATTCCTCTTTTGTCTTTTCAGGGGCTTCATCAGTATATTTTATCGTAATATTCTCCAACTGAATTTAAGTAAAGAGAAAAATTAACAAATATCAAAAGATAACGTAAATAAGATACAATACTTACATCCAAAGTATTTTCAAGATACATTTTATTATTTTGAAGAACTACGAATTCATCAAAATCTAATGTCAAATTAAGTGCGCTCAATCCAACTAGTTCCATCTTTTCACGCACCGCTTGTACAAAAGGCATTACCCGTTTCATATACTTTTTCAATTCTGGTAATTTACCAAGCGCGGCAGCAATAACTTTATTTTCTGGCAGTTTGTTATCATTTTCCTGCAAAGTAATTTAATGTATTTCAGTATGAATACATTATCTTATTTAAATGTACTCTTTCATAATTACTTACTTGATATAACTTTTTCATCGTAGTCAAAATAGTATTTTGCCAAGAAGGATAGGTTTTTGCTACCCAAATTGTTCCCTGGGTAGGTTTTTCTATTACTGATGACTCAGTTTTACCTTTTGATTTCTTTGGTGTCATATAGTTCTTTAGAAGAATTCTAAATGAATGTGCAGCATTCATAAGATATTGTGATGACTTTATCAGGATTTCATCTATTTCTCCCACTTCAGGCCATTTAGCATTTAATATGCTACCTTCCTATTAAAAAATAGTTCTTAATGTAGTATTAACTTTTACATTCAGTTTTAAGTGATGATATCATTTATTTTTTTAATTTAATATATTAGATACTAGGACTCACTTTACCAATGAGGTTCCACACATGTTCCGATACATGGGGACAAATAGGGGACAATAGAATAACTTGCAATTCTATGAATTTCATAATTAATGTCAGATTAGCGCTGTCCAGTGTACTTAATTGTAAATATTTGTCCTTTATTGCTTGTAACTCGAAAAATCCCGTTTTCAATGCTTCTTTATACAACATTTTGGTATAATTTTCCCCGGTCTCTCGTATTTTTAGATTCATTTCACTAATTCATCAATCACCAACTCAATATTGATTTTACAAACAGAAGTTGAAAAAATAGTTTAATAAATACCTTTCAAAAACCTTGTCATTAAATGTATGTGGTTTTCCTTGCCTAAAAGTATCTTTGGAAGCTAATACTTCTTTTATCCATTCAATAAAATTATACAATCTGAGAATTCCAGCATCAGCTGTGGTTTCTACAAAATTAGCATCTTCTATTGAATCACCAGAATCAGCTAGGCAAAGTCGCATACCATCTGCCGAAAACTTTTGTACAGCTTCAGAAAGAGTTAAGAAATTGCCCTCCGATTTTGACATCTAACAAAATAACGTTTACATAATTTTATATAACAATAATAAAATACATCAAAACATTTACCTTGGCCGAATTTAATAATAAATGTCCATTTGCCCTAATTCCTTTTGGCCACATTTCAGGTTGTTTATCCCATATTGCAGTATGATTATAAAGAAAGAATGTAAGATGGTTTTGTACCAAGTCTTTGCCAGATGTTCTTAAATCTACTGGATACCAATAATTAAATTCACGTCGCATATGATTTAATGCTTCTTTCTTAATATTTGTTTTCGGGAATTTTGCATCTTTGAAAAATATATAGTCCCATACTTCTGGTGTCATTTCACTGGCTCTAAATAAAACTACCTTTTTAACATGAATATATGCAACACATGTAAAATACTTTGAACATTATATTACAACTTATTTCCCTTGATATTACTTTAAAAGGTATCAATCTAAATATTTTTATCGATTATATACGCAGTGTTTCATATATATTACTCAGGAAATAACCTGTAATACTTAATGTTGGTAACTGATAATCATTTTAATATAGAATTGAATTTTTTTACTTTATATTGTATGTATTAGGTTTATCGCCTTTAAATGTTCCTCCTTGCAATAAATGAGCTACTGTATAATAAGCCATGTAGATTGTTGAATCTGACAGAGATTCTATTAACCAACTCTCATCCCACGGTAATTTAGTACCTATAAGATATAATTACAATTAATTTTATTAACATTATTTGCTTAAAATAATTAAAACAACATTTACCAAGTCCATAGGTTCTTGAACAAGCGTATTCGTGTAACCAGTCAAGACAAGCCAGAAAATTTTTTCTGACTTCCTCGTGATAAGTATTAACATTATTTAAAGCTTCTGTCGTTTGTTTTCTCCAGGATTCTTCTCCATAATCCAAATACCACTGATTACATAAAGCTACTACGCATTCATCATTTGATCTAGACATTACAGTTTTTTCAGGTTCATAATATATAACTGCTTGATTCTCATTTACCAAATCTTTCTGTATTTGCTTTTTAATATCTTTAATTTTCTTTCCTTTATATTTACCAACTAGTAATACTCCATCGTAAAAACCTTTAAGATATAATATCTCTTTTGCTTCCAATAGTTTAGCTTTATCATTTTGGGACTGAATGTTTAATTTATCGTACAAAGTTACTGCAGATAAATTACCATATTCTGGTATTTCAATAACTGGTATCTACAAAAGTTTTTTAGTTATAATTTTTGGTTTTAATTCTACATTACTATTAAAGATGTACATTCAACTCACTGGGTCATAAGGTAGCACCATTTCATCAGCTATGTTATACTTTTCCCTAAGAGGTTGTTTCTTTTTTAGATCTACTAAAGCTGCGTAATCATCAGGAGAATCACTAGGCACAGATGTAACAACTCCAGTACCTTTATCTTCTTTAATAGTTAACATTGGTAAAGTGTAAATTATTTTATTTGCAGTCAAAGGTGCTTCCAATTTTAATCCTAATATTACCTAACATACAATTTATAATATTTAGTACATATTATTACAAATTTTCTTCATAAATAAAAGAATGCATACTACCTTTCCAGTAAGCTTTGCTACAATTGGTATGTTTCCTTCCTCTTTGAAGAAACCTTGATAAGCCATGTTTCGAGCTGCTCTTTCTGTTGATATATAAATATCTCCATTTGATACAGTATATGCAATATAATTTATATCTGGATGAACCCAACAGTTTGTTTGACCATACATTGTTTCTGGTCTCAAAGTTGCAGCTACTAAATATATTGGTTTGTTGTGCCTATGCAAATATATGAAATATTAAATATTAAAAGCAATCTTTACAATTCTAATACTGTACCTACTGTAAACATGGAGGATAAGGTTCCAACACTTTCATTTTTATTAATGTATATTCTTGTGGCCCTACACCTTCCCCAGATGACCTATCATGATCCATACAAGGTTGTCCATCCTTTGGTGAATAAATTGTATATCTTTTCCCATATTTTACTTTATTTCTAGCTTTTAAGTGATGAAATTGCCAACGGACAAATGAATCAAAAAACGGATTTGCATCAGTTGTAATAAATGTTCTACGCCAATCTGTCTAGAATGAGTTTCAAGTCTTACACTTCAAATACAGCTATTTATATACATTAAACTCTTTAGTAACTTACATGCAGTCCAATTGCCTTCAAATCTTGCACTGCAAGAGGTGGAAAATAATCTAACCAATACTCAGCATTGGCAAAATTTTTTATTTCTTCATCTTTCAAACCAAGTGTTTGCATAATTTGCCACTGATATTTTGCAGCAACAGTTTTTGCAACTGCTTTACTCTGAAACCAAAATTATTTATTAGAATGTAAAATATGTAGATGATGTATGTATTATCAAATTACCTTTGTTCCTTTACTTTTATCTTTTATTATTACATCATCTTCAATTTCTTCTATCAGTTGTTCTTTAGGAAATTGTGGAGGATAACCATACAATTCCATTTCTCTTTTTAATTTATCAGCACAAGCTTTAATTGGCATACCAGTACAATGAAAACCAAATGGAAAAAGAACTTTTTTTCCTAAAAGGCGATTATACCGAACTGCAAACTACAAAGTCATTGATATTAATATTATATAGAATACTTATCTTCTTTTATATATTCATTAATTATTTACCTCACACTTTGATAATGAAAATGTATGACCAAGGTGAAGTCTTCCATTCATATATGGAAATGGAAAAGTTGCGAGAAACTTTTCATCTGCTGTTTTTTTATCTTGAAGAGGTGCATCCTCTTCATACACTTTCTCACTTTCCCACTTTGCTTGCACATCTTTTTCAATCTTTTGTAAATATTCTACTTTAAATGTTCCTTTTCTCTCTACTGCCTATCAATAATAATTGTTATTTTAATTGTTATTTATACATTTCGTTTGATCTTTCTACGTTAGCACTTTACAAAAAGCTGAGGTCATATTATCAATGTTATAGTATTCTAAATATAACATTTTTATAAATGAACAAAATTAAAATTCAGCATTAACATAAATATTAAGATGAGTATACATTCTAATAATGTTATTACTTAAATTGTATCCACGTTTGAGATGTTTTTATTAAACTATTATTTAAATTAATTACAAGTGCATTTACCATTTTGGTTAAGAATCGTTAACTAGCAAAGTACAATATTACAAAACTAATTAATAAATTAATAATTTTCACAAAATATTAAAACTATTGAAGGTATATTTAAAGCTGATCAATAGCAGCTTGTATATATACGGTACTGAGGTTATTTTTGTTAATATATAAATTACTTTTGAATCATTCATTAAATGCACTAGTATAGCATAATTATTGATTTAAAAGTAAATAATATATTAGCAGATACTTACCATTTTTTAAATATATAGTACTAACAGAATACAACTAACTTTAAATAAATATTGAATGCTATTCGCAAAAACCACGTGCCGCTTTTAGATACAATATTGTACAGTTAATAGAAGCCGGCTAGAGTACGTGTCACCACGTAAATATATACGTGGAGATAGAGGTTCTGAGAATTACCACATTACTTTTCTTTCTAATTTCTTGCTACTCAATTGCATTGCAAACGTGCAATTTTATAAATCGTTGCACAAGCCTAATACGCAGTTTATAGTGCATGTATAACATTACGCAGGTTGTTCATCGCATAAGAGTTAATTAAAAGGACAAAATTTTAATTGATTATGAGTGCAATCAAATTCTTTTATTATTTATTTCAATAAATAATGTATGGATAGTCTTTGCCCTGCATTCATCTAAACCAGCGATGGGCAACATGCCCACAAGGGCGCAGTACATGTGTAAAGATCATGCACTCATAGACACCGGGTTAGTAACATATTTCAATCTCATATTCTTTGTAATCTTGAAACCACAGTAATATAAATTAGCATAATATTAAAAGTTATGTTTTTTATCTTTTCAACAAATATTACTCTTATTTCTGTAATGAAAAATCTAATTTTCATTCGTATGCTCTAGGTTTGAGAAGCCTTGGTCACGGCATTGTGAATACCTCCTTATGTTATCCTGTTATCCTATTACATTATTTTTAGTTCAAGATACGCACTGCTAGATGGTGTTGATCTAATTTTTGATTTGTGCACGAAATATAATGAAAACTGAATTATAATGTATTAGCTGACAGTATTTAAACTTTTAGTATACTTTCACTTTGTATTATAGGCGTGTAACTAACAAATCAACGATATATTGAAGCGCAACAGATCTAAATATAACATCATTAGAATTGTAATCAGTTTCATTTAAAGAATTTTTGTGTAATAAAAACGAGTTCTGACATTGCCCAAAACATCATTTTTTATAATCTATATTCTTTTAAAAATAATTTTTAGGTATTTTGAAATTATCGCTCGTACGGCTTTAAAAATTCAAATTTATACATGCACCAAAGAGTAGGGATAAACACAGGCTTAGCCTAATTAGCCTAACGGTTTTTGTCTTATGCGCCGTCATCTAGCGGCAGAAGACGAGAACTAATTAAATTACAGCTTCAAAAGTATGTGATAAACCCTATTCGCCGGAGAGATGGCGCAAACTGTTCCATTTTTGTAAAAATACTTTTAATATTGGTTTTATTGATTAATATGCTATATGTTTATTATATAATTATTGTTATATATTTATTACGTAATTATTTATTATATAATATTGATTTGATGCTGTTTACAATATGTTCTGTAAGTCCGAAAATATGAATTGTGTTCAGATCAGTTAGCACACTATACTGTGTCTTGCCGGCAATGTAGAGAATAAGATTGGAATGGTACACATTTTTTATTCGAGTAGCCCAAAAACCATTCTCATGTGCATTTCCTTTTGAAAAATGGAGCTTGTTTACAAAATTTGGTCAGAATCAAAAAGTGACAGTATTCCGAAGTTTGACCAAAGGTTTGTACGTTCTGGAATTATTAATAGGTTAGAAAAGTTAATAGAAGCAGAAATTGCATTCAAAATTTAGTTCGAATAGTTTTCATCTCTTACTGTCAGATGGTTAGACATTTCTGGATTCACGAATAGTACCGCTTATAAATTTTTGTTTTTCACGCTTTTTGCAAATTATGGTAGCTTTTTCTCCGCATCTATTTTAATTACAAAATATTCCACTGTTTCAAAGAAGTGCAAAATTCGTTAATTTAAAAGAAAATCGAAATTTTTTATTGTGATAGTTCCACATTAGATCGCTAGATACCGGCAGCACTATCGTTTTTAAAATGTGCGCGCAAATATGAATTAAGAAAAAACATGAAAGTATAAGCCTTTTAAAATATTTTCAATTTTTTTAAGTTAATTATTTTACAATAAAACATGTTTTTATATTTTTTTTTACAAATTAAATTGTTAGGATACTTTAACTGAATGTTGAATGTAAAATTTGATTATAAAAGAACAATAATTTCTACAAATTTGATGTATAAATAATGGAAACTTGAAAATTTAAAAATTTGGATATGTGAGGATTTAAAAATTCGAGAATGTAAAAACTAAAAGTTTGTGAATTTAAATAAGTGGAAATTTGGGAATTTGAAAATTTGACAGGTGCCGCCACTGTGCAGCGGGATTTTTGAAACTTCAAAGGAAGACATTTCATCTTGGAATCCCCTAATATTTATATTTTTTATTCCTTGTTGTTACCAAATGAATGACACTCGGTAGTTACGCTCCTATATTTTATTGAACTGTTAAAATATTAAAGAACATTTTCGTTTCTTTCAATTCCATTGTAAGATATTACTCCAGTTCGAAGTCCTGTTAATTCGTTCTGAAAAGTAAACAGAATTATTTTTACAACAATATTTAAACTCTAAGTAACATTTAAACAAAAAATTTAAATGAGCAAGCTTACAAATCACTTTTCGTACAGGGTATGATATAGCATTGGAAAAAGTTGTAGTATAATTCTACAGGGTTTTTGTTAATTAAAGCTAATTAAACAGTTACCGTATTTCTGAGCTACTTATATACAATTACTTAAGAGGAATTTAATCCTTTTTTATGGATATTTGATGACATGTTGCATGAGATATGCATATCCATTAAGATAATTCTGAAGTGATTTAAGTATGATGTAATACTCACTTACCGAGGTTTGAATAGGTGAAAATTTTATTTGTAGATTCAATTCAGAAAACGGTTTCAAATTTCAAATATGTACAGTCAAATGCAATGTGAGTTTTTTAAAGGTAAGGATTGTGAGAAGCCTTCTACCATTTATTTTTGATTCTGTCTTTTACCCTTAAAAAGCTTACACTACGCTTAAGTGTACAAGATTAATTACTCCATTACATTTTTATTGTTAGATTGGAAATGTATTATATACAAAAATCAATTAACTTTACCTGAGTAACAAAATCTAACAATAAGTAAACTTACGTTGAATAATTCGTATTTTAAATATTTTATAAATTAAATAGTTATTTCTAAGTTCAAAAGTGAACAACTTTCTTTTAAATTTGTAAAATTTTAAATGAGGAAACCATAAATTTTCTTTATTCTATCACTTTTATTTTACTTTGAAATATTGGATTGAATCTTATTTTTTAAAGCCATTATGTATAATAGAAATATTATATCAATAAAATAGTTAACATGATTGTACGAAATAATTTTGTTGACGTTCAGAATAATTAACAATTATTATTAATATTATTTACAGAGTAAATTTGCAAAATTTGTTATACAAAATTGCATTACCAATTCCAAAATTAACAGCAGAAATTGACGAGTGGATGTCTTGTTTAACGATACAAGATTTGTTACTTAAACAAAAATAAGTAAATTGCTTTGAAGTTTCAGTAATTATTATAGAAGTTACTGGTCGCTTTCAGGTATCTACAAATGGAGAATTCGATATAATCTTTAGAAAATAAATAAAGATTTTTATCTTAACACATAAATGTACACGGTTTTGTCTATTAACGGTGTACAGGTACACAATACTTCCACTTAATAATACAGCACCGCCGTATTTCAGAACATTTTTGTTCTATGTGTATAACCATACGAGCACCATTACATGTGTACATACACAGGTATGTATACGGAACGTTTCAAAATTATAGGATCAATAGAATTATGTAAATCCATCTAGACAAAAAGTCTTTATCATTGATAAATTAAGCCTTGTTCTCAAAATATGAACAGAAGTTTTAAGACCATACTAAACTTAATTATTTATAATCAATCAATTAGTTATTGGACTAATTATAATTCAGCGTATACAGTGTTTCTAAATTACCTTAATTTAGTGTCTATATTATCAAACTTCTAAATTGGAATCTTTGTAAATCTGCAAATATCTAATTCTGAAAATTTCTAAATTCGAAAATTAAAAATTTTGAAGTTTGTAAATCTGAAGTCTTCTAAATTTATAAATTTACTTCATTTATAGAATAAATGATTACGGTTCTGAGACACTAAGGAATATGTTGGCGTTATTTCTTCCTATATCATAATTTTTTTCCCAGGAAAATAAAACCTTAAATTACAAAAACAGAAAGAGTTTCAATTCCACCTACAATAGACTTGCATGAGGTTGTTCTGTTCCATAATTTTGTAATATAGGTATATTCTATTTGAATTATGTAAATAGTTAAATAGAAAAGAAACTCAATTACAGAAGAACAATCCTGCATTCTACATACAAGAATCTGTATCCCCATGCTCTAAAAGTGTATACACTTCAAAATGGCATTATAATATATCTATAAATTCAATAGGATTACATAGTTTCGCGATATTTACTATCTTTTATTCCTCTTAATAAAAATCTATATCGTAATACTTTAAATTATACGCCCTTTCGAACTATCAAGTGATTATTGCATTAGGCTTATCATTAATAAATGTTTCATTGCTCGATGAGATGATATTGAAGTAAGTAAAAGCCTCCATATTATAACAAATCTCTTTTCGAATATTCTTTCATGTGCTAACTACTTTCTGATCAAATCTAACAAACATTAGCTGACGAAATAAACTTCTAGCGATTTCTACTGTCTTTTTTATTCGATCATTCAATCATATTTTTTTTGTAATCGCATACATCCAGTCTTATCATTTTTTTCCTTATGTGATTTAATCACAGTATAAATTATTTCACGATTACGTAAATATAAACCAAGATGATTTAAATATATTAAATATTTTTTATAACTGTTAAGAAGTTATTTCGCCATCTAACTTGCAATTCCCGCAACAAGCTCGTCGACCTAAAAATACGTACATTTGAATTAAATTCGTTTTGTACATATGTACAATATAAGAAGCGATCAATACTGCAAATTTTGCTGCAATCGTCTAAAGACAATCCTCTTCCTCCTGATTTAACAAAACAAGAAAATATCACGTTTCAATTTTTATCGTATTTACAAGGTTTTAACGTTAAATAACGTTAGCACAACGATCTCCAAAGCACCAAATACGAGCAAGGTTATTCGTTATAATAAGTAATTAACTAAAACCGTAGCGTAGCCGTACCAAGCAGAAGTGAAGTTTTAAATGCGAGAATATGGTCAGCGAGATGGGGGGAGAGAAATACAACAATTTAAAAATTTACAAATTCTCATATTTGTAAATATCTTAATTTTCAAATTTTAAAACTACTTAATTTCTAAATTTTTAAATTCCTACATTTTCAAAATTTCAAATTTCTAAATCCTTAAATTCCGAAATTCCTTTGATACATTATCCAATTGCTAAATAACCAAATCTCAAAATCCCCTGTTCAAATTTTTCTACTTTCTCCCACACTATGTGACTCCTGCCTTAATCTTGACTCATACTTGGCAGAGCTACCGACTATTAACCCGAATTGCAATGTTCTCTATGAAAATCAATGCAAGATACTCGCTCAGTACTTCTGTCTATAAATAAATAACGCTCAACAAGAAATAAATACATCTTCGTCAAAATTACAAACATATCTTTTACCTATTCGCCTCTTTAAAATATAATAATTCGTTTCTACACGATACCTATATCGTATGATCATCTAAATCATAAAAAAAAGAAAAGAAAAAAACGAAAATAGACATATTACAAAATAAGCATAAATCTAATCGAGGGGATAATTTGGACGAAATAAAAGAATACCAAGGTATCGTTACACGAATGTCCATCTAGATAACCGCGTAAGCTACGGTCAACATCACAATATTCGCCTTTCAACCGATTTAACCCCGCAAAATGACAAATTCTGAACTGACCACTTAAGGCTCGAACTATGCACACAACAAAAACCAGGGATTGAAAAAGTTCTGAGAATAAGTGTTCCAAATTATTTATCGATTCTGATATATAAAACAGTTACGGAGAAAAAGCTAGAAATGGATTACGGTTTTAATTCCGTAGAGCTAATATTATATTGATTCCATAACCGTTACCTTTCGGTCATAGTTCTGTTTTATGTACTAAATACATACAAGTTAATTTATAACTGATATAATATCAATTCTGAAGAATCGAAACCGTAACCGATACAAGTAACCGATGAACCCGATAAGAGTTGCGAGTCTATTCCGGTTTTCCATAACTGTTTTAAGAATGAAAACCGACATTAATAACTGTTTTCAATCCATGGATACGACAGTCCTGTCTCGAACGATCACGAAATAAAAATGTTCTCGCAAAGCTTTTTACAAAGGATTTCGATGCACGATCATATTTAATGTTGACGATGCAAAGGATGTTGGTTGGATCAGCACATGATGAGCGGTCCCAGTGTAAGGCAGTTGATGTTGGATTAAAAGGTACGCGAACATGTTGGTGGTAGGCCGCGGTGATCGAATTCCAGGCACCCATAGTATTGTTCCCTGAGACCCGATTAGCTTCCCAGAGATAACTAGAAGACAGTGACGGCCTTGTTGTGGTCAGCAAACGAAGAGCTAGCTCGTTAAATCAACAGTTGCGATTAGTAGTGCCATTATTCACCTGTGTACCGCCTCCTGTTTCATAATCGGCCTCACGGTGCTTCTCTTCCGACAGGAAATATCTCCGTTCCTTGAAAAGATCTGCCACGCAATTCGCCTACAAAGTACAATGTATTTCAAGCGACTTTATTATAATTTAAATTCTTTGGAAATTTTTAACCGAGTGCTTTGAAAATAGTTTAGGTTCAGAATGATGTACATTTTTAAAATAATTAATGTACGGCGCTGTACATTTTTGAAATAATTATTTTAATATCGAAGGTGGTGCACATACACGCAACGTGTAGATGTGCATGCTTCTTTATAATAACACAATGGAATAGTTAAGGATAGTTAATAGCGCTTACCACAAGTAGTGCCACTATGGTACCAAGGGTCGAACCGGCCAGTACATCGCTCCAGTGATGTTTATAGTCGGAAATGCGTGACAATGCAGTGAACCAGGCCATTAGCAGGCACACAAGTTGTAGGGAATGTCTTAATAATTTACTACCTTTCGACGTCATTCGCAATTGCAGGTACAACTGAAAGAAATATTATAACATCGATACAACCAAAAAATAGGCAGTTAATTTTTTAATTGGGCAAAATTCAATTTCTATTCAAAATTTTATTCAAATTATAAAATTTCCAAATTCCAAAATTTACCCGTTTAAAAATTTTCAAATTTCCCGCGCTTGCTAATTTAAAAATTGTCAAATTTTTAAAATATCCACATTTCTAAGTTCCTATATTTGAAAATTTTGCAATTTTCTACTTTTTAAAATACTGAAATTTCAGAATTTAAAAACGTCCACATTTGTAATTTTTTGAATTAAAAAATTTGGGAAATATACAAATTTATAATTTGCTAATATAAAAATTCTAAAATTCTCAAATTTCTAAATCCTCATTTTTGTAAATTTAAAAATTTCTAAATTTCCAAATTTTTAAAATACTCAAACTTTTAAATCCTTAAATACCCAAATTACCAAATCCTAAATTCCTGAATTAAAAAATTTAGAAACTCGTAACGTAGGAAACATTTTTCAAAAGTAACGTATCTTCAGAAATAACGTATGTCTTTTGGAAGTTTCCACATACAGTTCACCACACAATATAACATTTAACGTCGAATATTTCAATTTTTCGTTCTCGGAATAAAACGCAAGAATACGATTATGGAAACGAAGTTAGGTAAGTGTAGAATCATAAATTCTTGGGAAGAAAATAGGGACTTACCGCAAGATAGATCATGGTGTAGGCCGAGAACGACGAGTGTCCCGAGGGAAAGGATAATCTGAAATGATCAACGTTATAAATTGTTCGGTGTCAAATAAATCTCGTTCAACGACCGTTCATACAAAAATTGTCTTCTTCTACCGTGTACCATACACGCACACCATCATCGTCTCTACACGCATGTCTCATAATGGGACCCTATTAATTTTATCACGATTAATTCCGGGGGCGTGTTCCTGCCGATTACAATCGACGGATGCATGCCCCGAAGCATGGATCGTAAAGATTCGGCGGAGAGATTCTTCGACAAGGTCAAAAAAGGAAGTACAAAAAGGAAAGAGGAGCAAAAAAGCAACCGCTCCAGTGGGTTAAACTACACCTTTAATCGGACATTATCTGCCCTCCCATTTTTCCTTTATTTATCTTTCGCATTATTCCCTTTCTTTCTTTTGTGATTTCTTCGTTGAATAACATTCTTTCGCTGTCTTTAACCAGTATATAAACAAAATTGAAATTATCGCGATTGTTAACCAGTGTATATAAATATAAAATATTTTATTTAACTTTATATAAAATGTATATCTTTTCGTTATGGCGTCTCTATTTACACTGATGCGTCCTTACCAGTCACAATAGAAATGTAAAGAAAATAACGATATTAATGACATCTAATGAAATCACAATACTCCAACAATGACCAAGTAATAAAAATCCCGTTACTCCGTCTCTGAAATTCAAATATGGCGCCTCACAAATACTACGCCTATATTTAAACTATTCGTATCTCGAAAAGTAATTTTTTAGCCAAAATTTCTATAGATATCTTTCACTTTATTTTACAAATAACTATATATGTAGTAATTCAATTTCCTCCTACGTCCCTACTTTAAATAACCGGTTCACGGAACACACAATTAGTAGTTAGCACGAAAAAGATACTGAAGGGCCGAAAGATTGGGAAACGTTGTTTTATAGGGTCCTCTCCTTTTTAACGACCCGGAGGAATCAGATGGTGGAACGTATGAATGAATTCTCTGTGAGCCTTTATCGCTAATTCTTCAAATCTTTCTATATACATAAAACTGTCCCTGCTCGTACGAAGAACGGGCGACCTGCGAGATATGCTCGAGTGCGTGTACAGTCACAAACAAATCTGCTTTCCTTAGGGAAAATATGGTGATCAAAGGTGAAGAAGATTTTCACTTGTTAATTTTCAGAAACAGTTGGGGATTTTTGAATTTTTATGCACGTAGAAATGTGAGAAATTAGCAATCTAGGAATTTGGAGATCTAGGGATTTTGGTGCCTATGGATTTGAGATACTAGAAATATAGTAATTGAAAATCTAGGGATATGAGAACCTAGGGATTTGGGAATCTAGGGATTTGGGAATCTAGGCATTTTGGAATCTAGAGATTTGAGAATCTAGGGATTTGTGAAGCTAGGGATTTGTGAATCTAGTGATTTTGGAATCTAAGCATTTTGGAACCTAGGGATTTTGGAATCTAAGCATTTTGGAACCTAGGGATTTTGGAATCTAGAGATTTGGGAATCTAGGGATTTGTGAATCTAGGGATTTTGGAATTTGGTGATTTGAGAATCTAGGGATTTGGGAATCTAGGGATTTGGGAATCTAGAGATTTGGAAATCTAGGGATTTGCGAATCTAGAGATTTGGGTTTCTAGGAATTTTGCGATCATAGATATTTGAGAGTATTGAGATTTGGTTGACTAGGGATTTATAAATTTGAGGACTTAGGAGTCCAGAGATTTGAAGTCTACAAATGTAAAAATCTCGAGATTTGTCTAGAAATTTAGTGTCTTAAGTATTTGGGAACATTCTAATTAGGATCTAGGAATTTGAGATACTAGAAACATAGTAATTAAAAATCTAGGGATTTGGAAATCTACAAACTTGAAATCGTAGAAATTTAAAAACTTAAGAATTTGATGACTAGGGTTTTTAAATTATAAATATCAATATCTAATATTAGCACCAATCTTATGTTTACACCTTTACATTAATGTTGTTCATATTAGATTTAGATATAGTTCCATGTACCGAAAGTTCATCAGTTGTATGACGAGTTAATTCGTCATGGTCGGTTAAGGGGATAATGTAATGGATTTTTTAACAAGAACGATTGAAATAAATTCGCAAATCCAATTCGTTCTTGTGATGGCATTTCCGTTATCGAACGAAAGCAGCTCAGATTCGAATCCAGTTCATGCGAATAGCGAGCTGCACAAAGCCTCTCATCATTGTCATTTGCTGCTACCGGCGTTCCCTTTTTTTGCTTGTATCCGTTGGAACCGGCCTCGGGGTACTGCCTCGACAAAAAATCGACGAAATTCCGTTGCGAATAAGGCATGGGTGCACGGTAAATAATGCTGTGCTGATCGAGTGGACCGTGGCCCAAAGTGATTATTCGAGGCAACGGTAGAACGGTGCAAATAATAGGGAACGACTTTCGAAAAGGGGTCCTTTAATGAAACACCCGTACTGTAATATTTTGTATGAATAGGAAAGTGGAGACCGTGTAATTTCCGATTGAAATGTCCTGGTAATAATATTAATTTAATTATGGCTTCTTTATAACCCGTTCAGCAATTTGAAAGCTATTTTCTTGTTAAAAATAGCATTTTTATGGGTAGAACTGCAGAATTGTACAGTTCGAATTTGATTTAGAAATTTATCAACGGGTATATGAAGGTGATATGAAAGTTGGTGAATGGAAAGGAGTAGATTTCCGTTACATTGCCGCTTTTGTGTGCACTTTCACGGAAAGCAGTGGAAATTTTTATGTTATTTTGGATCACTGTATTACATTACCATGCGTTATTTTGCAACGCATCATATCAACACGCGTTATAGTGTAACGCACTGTATTATATTACCATGTGCCGTGTTTCAACGCAACGTATTTTTACACATTGCCACGCATCGTACTTCTACCCCTTATATTTCCTCGTGTTATATCGCTACGCGTCCTATTGCGACGCATCGTACTCCTACGCATTATAATGCCACGGACCGTATTTCCACGCGTTATATTGCCATATGCTGTATTTCCTCGCATTATATTGCCACGGACCGTATTTCCATGCGTTATATTGCCACGGACCGTATTTCCATGCGATATATTGCCGTATGTCGTATTTCCTCGCGTTATGTTATCACGCGTCGTATTCCCACGCATTATAATGCCATGAGTTATATTTCCACGCGTTATATTGCCACGCATCGAATTTCCCTCGCTATGTCGCCACACGTTATATTGTTACGCGCCGTTCCATTACGCGTATAACTTATTGTTCTACACAGCAATCTACGAAGACTACTACAATGTCAAACACGAATATTTGTTGGTGATTTCAATATATTGCCGACATCACGAATTTTCTATTGTATGTAAAAGCTGAAGAATACACTTGCTATTAATTTTTCAAGTGAAAATAATGGAAGCATATAAATTCATATACTCTTAAACTAATAAATGTACATAAACTCATATATTTACAAAATACTAAAACTAAATAAATCCACATATATTTTTTCAGATTTATATGATGTGAATATTTCAATATTAATAATTTACGTGCATTAATGATTATCTTTTTATACACTGTGTTGTTACTCGGTACTTGGAGCGAATTTAAAACACGAAAAGTGGTTTTTGATTCGTCAGCACTTTCTCCTTCCCTTCCGTACCTATTTCTTATAACGCACAAAAAGCCATGAAAGCAACCCGTTCCCCTTCATCAACTTTAATTCTTCGGCTCATTCTCATGGTTCTGCAACCAAGCTCACAATTGTTACCGTCACGCGATTCGATGTTTCGCGATCTCATTGCCAGATACCAAAAGGGTATTGCACTGAACCTTCTACGTACATTCAAGATCCTTGAAATCGAAAGTTAAAATGTATTTACATGGTACATACGTTCGATAAGTACTCAAACTAACACAATGAAAAATCGAATTCTATAGTGAAACGAAATCTCATGATTAATTTCCAATGTGTATTCTTTCTCTTGTTACATACATAGTACATTTAAACTAACCTAATCTAACTTCCTCGCTTAACTTAATAACCAAAACTTAACTGTGAATAAATTTAATCAACCCTCATTCAACTTCATTGTAATTTTCGTCAGCATTCTAACCTAAGTTATTTGAACTTAACTAAACAGGTTTGAATGACAAGAGTTATAACCAACAATACTTGTTGAACATATTATGTATATGACAATATTTACCTGATATCTTTCAACAGACTCTTCGAGACGCTCTCGTCACAGGTATAGTTCTCGATGTATCTATGTTGATTTTCGATTAGGCTGCAGTTAACATTAGGCATACAAAGAGTCATAAAATGGGGTCGCAATCGGCCTATTGTGTATTTCGCTACGTCCGTGCTTAAAACGTTCACGGCTGCTCCGAAACCGAAAACCCCGATCTGAAACATTTGTAATGTACTCATGAGGAACTTTGAACATACTACAACACCTATGAAATACGATATGTAACTAATAGTGCAGTAAACTTTCGTTATATCGCCACTAATGCAGCAGCAGTGGTCCATTTTAAAATTGGCAATATATTAAATTATTGATCTATGTATCCGTTTCATAGGAATGCTGTATATATAATAGTCCGCAAAATGGCAATATAACAAATGTCCGCAAAATGGCAATATAACGAGTGTTCAAAAGGCTGCATTCTTTCCATTTCCGCCGTAGATGATCTTTTATAAAATATTTTTTTCTGTTCCTTCTTTGAATGTAAATTTTTTAGAAATTTGGTTTCATGTCTGTTCTTCTTAGAGTTATGAATAACTGAATTATAGATGAAGAAGAGTAGAAATTGTGAAATATAAATACCTTTTCATATGCGTTCCATATCCATGGAGGTATATTGTAACCAAACAATATCTTCGTAGAGTCTATGTTACAGTGTCTTGCATAGAAGTATTCACCTATTAACATCTGTAACACAAATTTTATACACATTATTATACTTGCTGTTAATTACTGATATAATACATATATAGAATAAATTATATAATGTATTCTATTTAGTTATTTGTAACTTTTCAACATTTTGAAAATGGCTATACAAGAAGAGGAAGCTTTATAACTCTGTTTTTTGGAAGATAGAAACCATTCACATTTATTATACAATTTCTGTCATATTTAATACTTTTCTGTTAGTTAAGCTTTCAATAATTTAATAAAATATTTATTATTTGTGAATTATTTATAATTTATTATTTGTTAATAACTGACAAGTTTTCATGTATTTAATACAAATATTTATAATTTGCAATATAAAATTAGACAAATTCTCATGAATTTAATAAAAATATTTATAATTTGTAATATATAATTGGACAAGTTCTTATAAATTTAATACAAACATTTATAACGTGAAATATATAAGAGGACAATTTCTTAAGCGTCTGACAAAAATTATTAATATTTTGTAATTTATAAGTGAACAAGTTTTCGTGTATTTAATACAAATATTTATAATTTGCAATGTGCAGTTGAACAAGCTTTATAATTTGTAATGTATAATCAGACAATTTTTCATGAATTTAAAAATTAATAAAATTAAATTAAGATTGTAATAAAAATTACAAATTTTCATATATTTAATAACATTATATATAACTTGTAATATATAATTAGTTTAGCGTGTATAACTCGTGATGTATAATAAGTTTTCATGACTCATAACGTCTAGCGCCTAATAAAATGCCTCCCGGAGCTCTTTTTTAAGATAGGTGACAAATCCACCTACAAATTTGTTTACACGTCATTGAGATACTTGCACCATCAAATGGTTGACTCGATTCTGTGAGTTTTAATAAAACCCTATCCCGGCGGAGATTAATCAGAGATAAATGGCCGTCGGACAAAGAGCAACGATTCCAAAAGTTCTCAAGAGGCTCAAAAGCCAGTAATCTCTCCTTCAGGTTTTACCGATCTGTCACGGCTTCAACAAAAGTGGGTTAACCGGCCAGATTCCAGATAAAGGTCACCACCAGGTGATACAAGCGAGAGGTACGATTGAATGAAATACAACGGCAGGTTCAGACGTTTTTACCTGCCTCGACATTCTTTCCTTCTACCCCAATGGAAACGGACAATATATCATGGCCACGAAAAAAACGGACAAGCCGTGTATCTTCGAACAACTCATTTATTTACGACACGATCCCTTTAGTTCCACCACGATGGGTAGATGTACAGTTTCTATAAAAAATATTTCGACGTATATACAATGATTAATTACAACCAGAACTTACTATCTGGACCTTATGGATAAGGTATATTAACCACCGAGTTCGAACCGAATTTTTCAATTCCACAAACATCCGATATAACATTTTTAAACTCTTCAAACTTCAAGTGATTTTTGTAAGAGATTCTTATTTTAAAAATTGATTTTAACGAGATTTTTTAAGTTCGTATCATACGCTGTAGTTCTATCATCATATCCTTGAAAATAAACACTAAACCATTCGCAAAGCGTTACGTTCCAAATACTCGAAATATACAATACGCGAAGCAATTATTCTCAAGGCACACTGCGCTCAATTTTTTATTTACTGATTTTATACGGTTTTTTATCTGAGTTCCGAGACTTTCGACACGCAGAAAAAGCGTAGTGTTTCGAATTCTCGGAACTGAAAACTTCTTTTTGTTTTGAGGTTTCGACGTATCGAGAAGCCTATCTAATGTTAACCATAAGTTGTACTACTCAAATTTTTGGGATGAACATAAATTTGGTAACCGTCAGAAATGAATACAAATGTACACAAATGTATATTTTCTGAATGCAGATGATAATGGAGTTATTTTTTTCGCACCTTTTTATTTCTTTATTTTCAGTCTTGTGAATTTCGACGTATTGTAAGTTTTGAAATGTTGAAATTGTAAAACTCATACATATTCAAGATTACACATTTCTAAATTCTGAAATTACTACATTCATGCAATTTCAAATTTAAAAATTCTCAAACCATGAAATTCACAAATCCCTAAAATATATTTTCAAATATTCAAAATCTACAAATTTCAAAATTTTCAAATAGTAAAATTTCCGAATTCGAAAATTTTTTAATTTTGGAATTTTCGATATTCGAAATTTTGGATTGTTAGACCTGAAAATTTCAAATATTTAAATCTCAGATGGCTAAACCCAAAATTTCTAAATTTTCACATTTTACAATTTTCAAAGTTCCGGTTTTTTAAATTTTTAATTTCTAAATTTTCAAATTCTTAAATTTAGTAATACTTAGATTTCCAAATCACTAAAACAGAAATTTCTGAATTTTCGAATGCTCATATTCCTAGATCATCAAACCCAAAATGGGGAAATTAAAAAATTTCTAAATTTAACAAATTTTCAGATTCAGGTCGTCAAACCCAATTTTGGTAATTTTGCAATTTTCCAATTTCAAAATTCTCAGATTCCCGAATTGCTAAACCCAAAACTTGGAAATTTTCAAATTCTCGTATTCTAAGATCATCAAAACCATAATTTCGAAATTTAAAAATTTTGAAATTTCCAAATTCTCTGATTCCCAGGTCGTCAAACCCAATTTTGGTAATTTTGAAATTCTCCAATTCCCAGGTTGTCAAACCCAATTTTGGTAATTTTAAAATTCTCTAATTTCAAAATTGAAATTCTTCAGTTTCAGCATTCTCAGACTCCTAAATTGTTAAACCCAATATTTTGAAATTTTCAAACTCTCCAATTTCGAAAGTCTCAGATCCCAAATTGTGAAACCCCAAATTTTGAAAACTTCAAATTCTCGGATTTTAAGATCCCTAAATCCGAAATTCTGAAATTTGCAAATATCACTATTCTCAAACTCCAAAATTTTCAAATTCTCAAATATCCAAATCCTCAAATGCTCAAATTAAAAATGTCAAAATCTCTAAATCGTAAAATTGTCACTTCCGCAAACTCATAAATTTTTTGGTCCCTCTGTTTTCCGAAATTTCAAATTCCTCTTCAATTGTTAAGAATATACAAAGCATATAAAAACAGGTAGTACCTAAAACCGCAAAATTGAATGATTTCATATATATAAAAAAATAAATGTCAATCATATAGATTGAACTCTTTTTCTTTTTATGATAAGTAGCTCCTTTTTCGTGGAAAACGAGTTTGAAGATCGTGTAATACATCTGCACACTTGTTCACGATGACAGCGTTAATTCGAACATCGTGTGGCTGAGGGATAAGAGAAAGAAAAGCAGAATAGGAGCTGACGTTTGAAGAGCTTGCTCTGCAGGGTCTGATTTCAAACCAGAATTTTCGTAGGGATTTATGCATTCCATAGATTGTTTGATAGCTGACTTCTTTTCTCATTGTTTTGTATCATATATACATAGCTATGCAGTATTAAATTCCAAGTGTTATATAGCAGTTATTTATTTCAATGCATATTTCATTGTGCAGGTGTAAATCGACAATGTTTTATTATTATGACAAATTTGTAAGTTTCTAAATTTCGAATTGTTGTATTTCTAAATTTTAAATTATTACACAATATTTCTAAATTTCCAAATTGCAAATTATTGAACGATATTTATTTTCAGGTTCTGTTTGTTACGTTTCCAATTTCCAAATTCTCAAATCCCCTAATTGCTGAATTCTGAAATCATCAAATCCTCAAACTTTTAAATTCCTAAGTTCCTAAGTCCCTAAGACCCTAAATCGTCAAAATCATTTTAAAATCTCTAAATCGTCAAATCTTCAATTCCCCAAATGACTAAATTTTTTAATTTCTAAATCTTTAAATTTGCAAATTCCTAACTTTTTAAAATCTCGAATCTCTAAATTCTGTAATCCTACAATTTCCAAGTCCTTAAGTTTTCACATCCCTAAATCTTCAAATCCTCAAATTCCCAAATTCATAAATTTTCAGATTCCTGAATCCTTAAATCTATAAATTCCTAATTCTCTAAAATCCTAAATCTCTAAATCCTCAAATCCTACAATTTCCATGTCTCTAAATTTTCAAATCCCTAAATCTTTAAATCTTTAAATTCCTAAATTCCTACATTTTCGAATCCCTAAATCTTCAAATCCTCAAATTCCCAAATTCATAAATTTTCAGATTCCTGAATCCTTAAATCTATAAATTCCCAATTCTCTAGAATCCCAAATCTCTAAATTCTCAATTCTCTAGAATCCCAAATCTCTAAATCCTCAAATCCTACAATTTTGCATGCCTCTAAATTTTCAAATCCCTAAATCTTCAAATCCTCAAATTCCTAAATTCATAAATTTTCAAATTCCTGAATCCTGAAACTCTCAAATTACCAAATACCTAAATTTTTAAATCCCTGAACCCTCAAACCCTCAAATTCCCAAATTCCTAAATTTAAAAAATCTTCCATTTCTCCAAATCCACAAATATTCCAAATCCCTATATTTTTAACTTCCTAAATCCCTTAATCACAAAATCTTCAAATTTCCAATTTCTTAATCAGTAGACTTCCAAGGTCTCTGATTACAGTACAAGACACTAGGGTATAAGATTAGGGTGTAATACATTGATTAACTCAACCTCGAAGAAGTAAGTATCGAAATATTCTTGAGGCCGACTGTATTTAGTTTGAAAGAGTCTGTATATGGGAATCCGTCTCTTATTCAGCGGCTGACAACCCTTTGATCCGACCCTGCAGTTTCCAAGGATGCAAATAGAGGATGTGGTCTCTTCTGGCTTCACGCTCGGCAAAAATACTTTGCTGTACACGTGCACCGCTTCCCCAGATACCGTAAATCGATTCCCACGACCACCGAAAGTTAACGAATGCTTCTTTCGCCGTTGCATCCCATATGTGCGTATATCCATCCATAACACGTACACCTATACAATGGTTCGTTTCAAGCGAAGATTTACGCGCACTACCTTTGAAATAGCGAAAGTTTCATGTGTACTTTCGATACTTATATCTTGTACTTCTTCGATACTTATAACCTATTTTAGCTTAACTCTAAACCAACATGTTTGCTTTAAGATAGAAAGTGAAGTTGAAAAATAAATAAACAAACAATAAAACATGAGCTAATATACACATTAATTTTTAATCTCGATTGAAGTCAGTTTTCAAAAAAATCACTTATATCTTGTACTACTTGTTCGATACTTATAACCTATTTTAGCTTAACTCTAAAACAGCATGTTTGCTTTAAGATATAAAGTAAAGTTGAAAAATAAATAAACAAATAATAAAACATGAGCTAATATACACATTAATTTTTTATCTCGATAGAAGTCAGATTTCAAAAAAAACACTATAACAAATTTGGAAACTTAAGAAACTTGTAAACCGCTTATTTGACCGGGTCATCAACATTCTCTATATGGCCGATTGAACTGTATCTTATTTTGAAATTAGGAACTTTGTACGTTCTATTTTAAATGTACCTAATAATTACTTTGCATTGTCTTTACATTGTCTTAGCACCGTAGCAATAAGTTATGATGTGAATGACGCATCTGCATAGAAAGTTGTAGGTTAAGTCGGTGTGATCTATAATTTGAAAATAATATACGTGTTTGCTATTTTAATAACGTTGAATATGCAATTGAATGTTTATGCAATATATTATGAAAGTAATTTATTATCGGATAGTAATCTGAATAATCAAATAATTAATAGTATGAACATTGAATATAAATAATTTATAGCGTCGAATATAAATAATTTATCTCATGCGCATCAAATTTTGTTTTGTAACTATGAATATAAATTGCGAAAATAGCTGTGTGTCATACATTTTGAGGATCAAATAATAGAGATAATAAAAACATGATTTAAATTAACCGCAAAATTTTTTTAACGAAGTTTTTAACTTCAATATTTTCAACGTCGTGTTAACGAAGAAAAGTATACCAATGCTTTTGTTAAGTTTAAGGAAATTTATTTTGTTAAATATATACAGAAATAATGACGTACTTGAAAAAAATTACGTTATTGGAATTTCAAATAAAGCTCAAGTAAAATAGGATATACAAAAATTATCTAAAAAAATGTATTACGCAGTAAGTATAATCTAAAACGTGTGAATAAGTCGCATATATGTTTTTTTGGAAGATATTTCTCTTCGGACGAAGGTTGATACGTACTACGCATATATGTAACATATTATGTATCGATGTGGCTCACCGTAAATATAGGAAGTAGAAGGCCAACCACGTACAGCATACCACTGGTCACCGTTGACGTATGAAACGGGTGATACAACGATTCATCGTTGCAAAAGAATCCACGTTTGTACGGTTTACCAAAGAAATAGAACAGCAGTATAGGAATGCCAACTAAAACATGAAAAACAACCAAATTGTTAGTCGACGTTTTGACTAAGAATTTCTAAATCTCAAAGTCCAAAAATTTCAACACTTTTTAATTTCAGCGTAAAAATTCTTAAATCTTAAAATCTTTAAATTTTTAAATTGTCAAAACATCAATTTTCCAAGTCTCCGAGTTGTCAAATTCCAAAATCTTAAAATCCCCTAATTTCTAAATCTTGAATTTTCAAAATTGTTAAACTCCCAAATCCCCAAATCACCAGCTTCTCATAATATCAAATTCCCTAATCATCAAAATCTTAAATCTCCAATATCTCAAATTTCCAAATTTCCAATTACCCAAATTCCAAAATCTTAAAACCGCCAAATTCTCTAATTTCTAAATTTTTAAATATACAAATCCCCAAATTGTTAAACTCCCAATTCTCCGAATCCTTAAATCTTCAAATCCCCAGCTTCTCATAATAACCAAATTCCCTAATCACCAAGTTCTTAAATTCCCAATATCTCAAATTTCCAAATCTTCATGCTCCCAAATTCCAAAATCTTAAAACCCCCAAATTCTTTAATTTCTAAATTTTTAAATATACAAATCCCCAAATGATTAAACTCCCAACTCTTCAAATCCCTAAATCCTCAAATCCCCAGTTTCTCATAATATCCCATTTCTAGTCACTCCGTTCTCAAATCCCCAAATCCCCAAATCTCCAAGTTCCCAACTACCCAAATTTCTAAATCTTAAAATCACCAAATTCCCAACTTCCTCAATTTCCAAATCTTAAAATCCCTAAATCTCCAAATTCTTAATGTTGCAAAAGAATATTCCCTGCTACCCTTACTCTTATTACTTGTACTTGTTATATATTACATCCATACAGCTACTATTTATTTATTAATGGGGTACATAAAAAAAATCCAAGAAACCTGTGTACATAATACTTTGCAAGTTTGCAAATTGGTCGATCGCCTGTTCGCTCGTATATCACATTACATGTCATTTTTGACCGTGATTGCGGTTGTCGTCTCCTTTTTCTTGCACCGCCATAAACCAACGCGCTCAAGATAATTTGAAAATTGAATACTACTTTATTATCAGCCATGAGTAGCCGTTATCATAACGAGTTTTCGTAATTTCCTAACCACTGGCTGCTGTCAAGAATCCGTATTATATTATCCATCTGGATTATACAGCGTGTTCCATTTGAATTTTTGCGGGAACGTGTCAAAATGTACGACCGAAAATATATTTCAAGTAAAAGTTGTATAGTAAGAGAGATATATAAGTATTACACTTTTTTAAAGTATTTGTTACAATAACCTTGAACATGTTTTAATTTCAAATATTTTTAAAGTTAACTTGTTAGGTAAAAGTAAAAGAATGTCTTTAAATAGAGATGCGTAACGCGTATGCGCTGTTTAAACCGTGCGCATGCGCATCGTACAATTCTACTTAATTTAAAAAAACATATTTTGTCGATAACTGCTGTAATTTTCATAATATTTGTATCTTAAAGCTGGTCTCACATATGTAAAAATGTAAAATAAACATAGCTGATATTAATAATAAATACTAAGAAAATATTTAAGAAATATGATTTGTTAAAAAATGTTTGTTGAAGAACGAAAATAATATGTTCGAAAATATTCGCCCGTGAAAATTTGAACGGAACACCCTGTATAATACGGTAAAGAGCCACAGGGAAAAGTTGCAAACAACAAGGAAAATAATGGCATGCTCGCGGAACGCGATGCATACTCATCGGCTCTGCTATGGAAATCCCCGTAAGCCTTTCCCCCGTTACGTAGAAATCGTTCGAGCGAGTCAACCATTAAGATAATTGTGACGTTGCTTTTGTACAAAAGGAGGCAACACGGTGAACAGGTTGTAACAACTCGTGAAATCACACATGATTATACACGTATTATTTATATAGCTGACTACGGCAAACTTCGTCACTGTATGTACACGGTGTTCTAAAATTACTTAGTTAAACTTTCACTGCTCTACTCTGAATACAACGTAAAAATGCATATAAAGAAAATTACAACAAGATTAACCTATACTTAAATAAATTCTAAAGTATCATTTGACGTATTGCAAATTAAAATCATTTATCTTTTAATCTGTTAAGAATTTTGTTTACTTCCGTGTATGTCGGCTTGATTATTTTTAAATAACGAGGAATATACTCGAGAGAAACAAAGTAATCGCAAGGATATTATAATTTCTGACCAAGTTGTAAACCAGTGTATGAATTCGGTATTGAACTATTACGAGTTCAAAGTACCAAGAATTGAATTACAAGTTCTACCATTTCAGTCAATAATGCGTCGCGTGTATCGACACGTTTTACTCGATATCTCCCAACTAATAAACGCAATCGATCCATATGCGAAAACAATTTACTGTAACAGTGTCCGTGTTACTAATCTACTTGGGGTAATCATTACGTTCAAATGCACTTAGCGAACGCGTGTTATGCAAGGATTGATAACGAACACAATATGCATACACTGCTTCTGAATACGAACAAAGTCCCGCATACGTGCGGTTTACAATGCAACTGGTAATTGAATTCTGAGAATTCATCAGTCAAGCGGAATTTCGAAATTCGGAAACAGAGGATTTAACGAACTGGAGATATGAAAACAGAAGATTTAGAGATTAAGAATTTCGCAACGCGATTTTGCAAACTGAATATTTAAGAATTTGGTAATCTACAAATTTTCAGTTATAAGAGTTTAGAAATTTAATGACATATAAGGCATTTTTCGAATTTGGTAGGAAATGTAAATTATGAGGATTTGGAAATCTAGGAATATTCAATTGTGAATGATTAGGAATGTTGAACTTTCTAATTATGAGAATTTAAGAATATTAAGTTTCTAATTATGAGAAGTCGCGGATCTAGGGATATTTAATTACGAGAATTTTTTTATTTAAAAACTATGTATTTAGAAATTTTAATAAAAATAAAGGGTTTCTCGTTATGAGAATTTGGGAATATAGGTATATTCAGATACCAGAATGTAGATATCTAGCGACCTTCAATGATGAAGATTTGAAAAAGGGATTTTTAATTATGTGAATTTATAAATGTAAAGCTCCCGGTTATAAGAATTTGGCGATCTAAGGTCTAATAATGTGGGATCTAGGTTGTATTCTAAGAATTCAGTGACCTAAAAATTTGCTATCATGAGAATATGATAATATAGGGATTTTCAATTGCGAGTATTGAATGATCTAGGTAGTTTTAGTTATAAGAATTTCAGACTCTAGTAATTTTCAATTATGGAAATTTCGGAATTCATGAATATTGAATTACGAGAATTTGATGGTCTACTAATTCGACCATCTAGTTTTTTCAGCAATGACAATTTATGTCATATACAGTAAATATTCGATATGTGCACAAATGACCTGTACGATATGTGCACCATTCTCGGGTCCAAACTGGTGCAGATATCGTACAGGTCCTACATTTCGAGCGAAAGAGACTGATATCGAACATGTACTATTGTACATAGTCTAAATTGTTTAGTGTTTAGTCTTATTTTAATCAGAAAAGTATGAAGAATACATTAGTAAAAATTGGATAACGAAAAAGTGGAAAATAAAGAAGTTTTATTCATTAGTATTATCCCTCACTATGTTTTCGTTTGTTTACATTCGGTATCCTTCGCTCGTTGTCCTTTTCTACGTTCGGCAAAACATCAATCAATGTAGGAACTGTACGATATCTGCACCAGTTCAGACCCGAGAATAGTGCACATATCGAATATTTACTGTATTTAGATTTTCCAATATGACAGTTTATGTCAATATATTCATTTATGACAATTTTCATATATTTTTCAATAATGACAATTTGAATTTCAGGAATTTCCAATTACGAGAATATGCAAATCTAACATGTAATTGTGAGAATTATGCATCTAGGAATTTCTGACAACAAAAATGTTTTCGTGATTTTCAATCATGGTTATTTGCAGACATAAAAATTTTCAAATACAAGAATGTCAGAGTCTAGTGATTTTTAGTCGCAAGAATTCGGGAGTCCATGTAATTGTGAGAATTATGCATCTAGGAATTTCCGACAACGAAAATGTTTTCGTGATTTTCAATCATGGATATTTGCAGACATAAAAATTTTCAAATACAAGAATGTCAGAGTCTAGTGATTTTTAGTCGCAAGAATTCGGGAGTCCAATAATTAAAATTTGGAAATATAGAAGTGTTCAACTGTGCGAAATAAGCCACAGCACAAAAGTACAAATGAGATTCGTATGTGTACATAAGCAAGTTACGAAACGACGTTATTTATGGGTAACACGATACTTTTGTTTTATCGTGCACGTATTACTCACGCGATTCAACTTATTTTCACCGCAAGCTTAGCTTACCATTAGATATTATCATCGATCAAATATCGGTATACATATGGCGACACGATAACAGTCGATAGAGATCAGACAAGTAATGATTCAGTTTCAACTTCACGGTAATTCAGTTTCTTTATTATGTAATTATAATTCTTCTCTAACATGGTTATTCACGCGTATTCTAATCGGGAACTGACAGATATGCAGTTTATGCAAGACTTCATGATGAAAGATTTCTAACCAGAAGAAATCCAGATAGTGTGGGTTAAATCTGGGTTATTCGCCAGCGTTTACCAGAATACGGTTCATTGAAACCGAACATGAGCTCGGCACGAGTATTGAAAATAATTTTCACGGAATTGAAAGGAAAACTCGTGAAACTCGCAGGAAAATTGGGACATAAATTCGAAAAGAATTTTCTACAGCAACATTTTCTGTATGTTCCCACCGTTTGCGGGATTTAAAATTGTAAGCAAACTGCCAGACAAGTTTTAGCATTGGTTTACATGCAAGAATATTATATCAGGTGTGTTTCAGCAATGTTTTCAGATAACGTATCAGACCAGTAGTTTGCACAACATTTAATATCTTTTTTGTTGCTATTATTTGCAATTAAAATTTGTGTA